TAACCACAACAAAAATTCAATTGGTTTACCAGGTGAGACTTTGGTGCCATTGTTACTTTGGTTTGTCCTTGGCTCCCTTTCTGACCCAATAGATGTGTGTGTGGTGTGGTGTGGTGTGTGTGTGAGTGTGTGTGTATGAGTGAGACACAACATTTCTCTTCCCAAATTCTGTCATTGCAGTTCTACATGAGCACACTCAATTATTCATGCAACAATTTTCAGTTTTTATACTCATTTATGTTCATTTGTTGAGTCTATCTGTACACATGTGCCACAGTGCATGTGTGACTGCCAATGGATGATTTGCAGGAATTGGTCCCCTCCTTCCACCATGTAGATTCCAGGGACTGAACTCAAGCTGTCAGCATTGGTACCAAGCACCTTTACCCACTGGGCCATCGCCTAAACTTTGCAACAAATAATTGATAAGCAGTTGCCAAATGTTCAACAGCAATAAAAAGACCATCAATGCACGTGAACTTTATAGTACAGAAGGCCAATGAATTTGGTAGCATATACTTTAGAGGTGTATGTTGGGATCTTCCGAAATCAGAGGAAGCCTCTTTTGAGCAGTTGGGGATTCGGCCAAGGCCTGAGAGATGCATGGCGTTCTCTAGTAAAGAAAGCAAGTGCAGTATACTCTGACCTCCTCCAGCCTTTAACCGCAGCTCCTCCTCACTGCAATGTTTCCCTCTGTTGAGACATGCATGCTTTTCGGGGGACCCATTTCACATGCCCAGTGAGCTGTCTGCTCTGTGGTAAAGCCTTCTCTGACTGAAAGCAGTTTCTCCTTCATCCTCCCACCACATGTAGTTTTCATTTCTCTCTGACAATTCTCACTTTCTGCCTCATTTTCCTGGTTATTTCCATATGCAGCTTATCTGTTTCTACCAACTCTTAAACTTACTAAGAACAGAGTCTGTTTCTCATTCATCTCTTGACTGCTAAGGTTAGCACATTCCTTACTCTTAGAAGTCTGGAAACAAAGGTGTATAGCATACACGAATGCCTGCTTGACATCCCCTTTCAAATAGTTGTCATTCAAATGAAGCTATTGTTGTAAGCTATGCCTTTGGGACTGAATTTATTCTTTGGTTAAAGCAGAATGCTCTGGTCATGGTCCCCAAGGCTGATTGGTGCTCACCACAATGACCACAGCAACCCTAACAAACAGGCCACTGTTCTGCACTGACAGGCATTTGGCAAGAGCCAACAGCTCTCTGGTGTCAGCTAAAATGAATTGATGAAGAAGAGTGAATTGAGAGGCCCGGGTCAGCCAGCTCCATTTATTCCTCACATTTGTGTTCTAAGAGCCAGTGACCCCGACTTCAGCCTGATGTGAAACATGTCTGCAGGGGGTGAATGACACCAAGGCTATGGGGGCCTTCCAGAGAGACAAAAACATAATGCTTGGGGACAAAAATCACCAAAGATCAGTTTGGGTGGAGAGCACTGAAATTTGAGACAATGTGATAACAAGTGGAAGGGATATTTGAAGCTACATAGACCTAGGTCCAGATCCCAGCTTCCTACAGGCTCTCTCTCATGTTCCTTCTTTCAGACTCTCATCTGACTTCTCATTTAAAAATATTCCCTAGCTATTTTACAAAATCAAAAATAATGTTAGATGTACAATGGCAGTATACTCTTAAATGTGTTTATTCAGCTGGCTTACCTAATACAGTTTGTTCTCTTGAGGCCAGGGGCCTTTTTTTTTTTTGCCTCTATTTCTGCAAAACCTAGCAAGTGCCCAGCACATCATGAATGCTGGTAAATACTCTTCAAAAAATGAACATCAACAATGGTAGCTAGTTTTTGTCCTTTTTTTTTTTTTTGGTTTTGGTTTTCTGTTTTTGAGACAGGGTTTCTCTGTGTAACAGTCCTGGCTGACCTGGAATTTGCTCTGTAGACCAGGCTGGCCTCAAACTCAGAGATCCGCCTGCCTCTGCCTCCTGAGTGCTGGGACTAAAGGCATGTGCCACCCATGCCCAGCTATGGTAGCTAATCAAATTAACAATGAGGAAAATATTGTTTATAGATGTATTAAGAAAAAGTGAGAAATTAACTTCTGAGAATTGAAGGCATTTCAAGGGAGGAATGCCCTCTTTCTTTTTCTTTTACATTTCTGGAGATTGAACCCATAGTTTTCAACATACTAGACTTGTGTTCCACCACTGAGCCGTATCCCTAGCCCTTCTTTTGTTTTTTGAAATGAAGAATGAAGTCTTACTACATGGCCCAGGCTAATCTCACAATTCTCTCTCTCTCTCTCTCTCTCTCTCTCTCTCTCTCTCTCTCTCTCTCTCTCTCTCTCTCTCTCTCTCTCTCTCTCTCTTTCTGTCTCTCTCTCTCCCTCCCTCCCACTCCCAATAAAGTTGGCCTCCAATTTGACATCCTTCCACTTCAGCCTGTTACTGTTTTATTTATTTTTATTTATGTGTGAGCAGTTTGACAGAGTCCAGAAGGAGGGTTATAGGGATTAGCTAAAGGAGCCAGGTGGTGGTGGCACAAACCTTTAATCCTAGCACTCAGGAGGCAGAGGCAGGTGGATCTCTGCGAGTTCAAGGCCAGCCTGGTCTACAGACCTAGTCAAGGGCAGCTAGGGCTGTTACACAGAGAAAACCTGTCGGAAAAACAAGCAAACAAACAAATATCCAAAGAAAAGTAACATTCTAACCTCTTAGACAGCTGAAATTCAGGATGCTAGGATGTAAGTGTTTACTCATCAGGATTGACCAGAGGCCATTAGGTCAAACCAGCCATTAGACATACCTCTCAGAGGGTAGCTCAAGAGGGCATCGTAGGGCGACAACCACTATCGAGTCCTCGTCTGCAGTTAAGTCCCCTGTGTTCTTAACCGGAAAGACATAGTTTTACCAGGTGGACAAGATGATCCTGGGTAACGGTCATTCAAGAAAGGAATGGCACAGGTATACTTAGACTAATTCTGGAAATACATAGTATTTTTGCTTTGTAAATGTTTTATGTGCCTAGGTGGCCCGACTTGCAGTATGCTGTCTCTGTTTAAACTGATCAAAGTGTAACCTGGGGCTGGGACCTGAAAGAGACTTAAGGATGACACTGTAGAATGCATAAACCTAACTTGTATACGAGTTAGTAAAATCTCTGTCAAGGCCAACTCTAACTTAGGCATTAACCACAGCCAGCCAGGCGCGTTAGTACAGAGCTTTCCTTCTGTCATCTCTAAGTGTGAGGAGTGATTTTTGAGTAGGAAGGCTTATTATTTCTGTAGCAGGATCTCCTGAAACTAGAGGAACAGACAGCTGTGAGCCATCACTTGGGTGAGGGTAACCTAACTCAGATGTTTAGTAAGAGCAGCAATTGCTCTTAGCCACTGAGCCTTCTCTACTGTCTCGGTTTGTGGCATGCCCTGAGCATATGCCCATGCATATGTAATCTGAGTGTCTGGCTTATATTAGTTTCTTTCTATAGATCTTTTATTTTTTGATGCCACAATTTCTTAGTTTAAGAATGCTTTCTCAAGGACTTTTCCTCCATTAAAGTTTGCTATAGCTAGATAGCTGTTTCCAGTGGTGGTTTCCCCCTCCTCGTGACTCTCCACGCCAAACCTTCTGACAGTTTTCTTCCAGGTCCAGGTGGTTCACAGCCAGCAGATGGCAGGGTAGCAGGGATGGATAGAATTCCTAGTTTGTTTGTTTGTTTGTTTGTTTTTGACAACTACTCTCATGACTCAGTGCAGCACTTTCACCCAGACTCTAATAAAGCAGACTGAGCTGTCTATAATTAAAGGTTCCAGCTCACAAAGGAGAGCTTTGTCTCAGTACCCTACTCCATCATTGTCAAAATATCTTCAGAGAAGCCATGATAGGGCAGATTTCTGAATAAAGTGCCTGAGGCGGCCCCAGCATGACTTAGTGTAGAAGACAAAGGTAACTCTCCTGATAGTTTAAGAAAAAGAAGAAAAAACCAGGAAGTCGTCTGGATGATTTTGACAATGGAGTGAAATACGAGGCTTTTGTTGTAAAGTTCCTGCTTCCTTTACAAAATCTAGTTTGCGTAGATTTCCCCAGGAGAAGCTGTGTCCCCCTCCACCCTCATACTCTCGTTGGGTTTCAGATATTACAGGACATAGTACTACTGCAGAGCATAGAAGCAAAACAACAAACAACTGTATCGCCAAGAAGACAGGTTCAACTCTCCTGACAGTGATGCTGTTTTCAGCTTGCTGTGGTAAGATGAAACCACCCTGCTGTAGTATACACGTGACCCACCTCAGGTGCAGCTCCTTAGAGACCCAGCCTGGTTCCCGATGTCCTCTTAAAACTGTACCTGATTTCATTACCAGTTGTTAACCTAAGTGTGTTGGAAAAAATGGAATGATTCTCTTTTGTTTCCTGGTCAGAATCACTTGATCCTGAAAGTTGTTCTCAAGAAGATACGGCCAAGCCGGGCGTTGGTGGTGCACGCCTTTAATCCCAGCACTACGGAGGCAGAGGCAGGCGGATCTCTGTGAGTTCGAGGCCAGCCTGGTCTACAGAGCGAGTTCCAGGACAGTCTCCAAAAACAATACAGAGAAACCCTGTCTCGAAAACAAACAAACAAAAACAAAACAACAACAACAACAAAAAAAGAAGATACGGCCTAGAACATGCTCTGACACACTGCGTGGCGGAGAAAGAGAGAGCATAGTTTTTCTCCCAAGATCATAGGCAGGCTCTCTCTCTTTCTCTCTCTTACACACACACACACACACACACACACACACACACACACACACACACACACACACACACACACACCAGCAGCCACAGCGCAAATCCTCCAGCCTTTATTTGTCAAACACACGGTCGCCGTCCAGTCCATCTAGCCAGACAAGCTCAAGGGGCAGACATCTGGTTGCTATGACCACAAAAGAAGCCTCGAGGACCATGCTCGCCTTACGCTACGTAGGGACGCAGACACTACGCAGGCAGGTCCTTAGCTCGACGAACTGCTCGTTATGTCTGATTGGGTTCGGCGGTCGTCTCTCGGCCCTTGCGCTTGCGTACTACGGCTCGTTCCCGTCACCGCGGCCCGGATCGGGAAGTGTCTAGTGGGAACCGGGTTCCCCCGCCTTTGCCGTAGCTACTGCTGAACCCGGACGCCTCATCCCGGCCGGGCACTACCGCCATGACGAACGGTGAGAGCCGGGGGCCGTAGCGGAGGGTGGCGGTAGAGGACGGGGGACAGACGTGGCGGGCGGGGCTAGACTGACGTGGCCGTTCCCCCCGCCCCCTCCCAGCCCAGCCCCCCTGGGCCTTTGGGGAGCCCCTAACTCCTGTCTGGGATGCTTCTCGCAGGTTCCTTGTTCTCAAGTCCATCAATGTTCCCCAGTGCTGCCCAGTGCCCACACCTGACTTTTCTTCCCTGGAAGTTGCTTCTAGCCCTTGGGGAGGTCCGTCACCATAGAAGTAGTGCAGTTAGTCCCCAGGGAATAGAGCATGTCATCAAGTTCTCTAAAGTCTCGTACTTTCGGACAGTAGGCTGGTTGAGAGGACCTAGAAATGGTATCAAACTCCCCACTTTGCGAGAGAGGTGACTGTAGACGGGTAATCCCCAAAGTTTTTTGTATGTTTGTTTTTGTTTAAAGTCCTAGCTGGGTAGTTCCATCCAGAGATTCTGGCTTGTGTTGCAAAGGGTGGATTTAGAAGCCGCCTTGTTTTAACCGACAGAGCACTTGCGCCCCTGTTTATCTCAATTAAACTTTTCTAGGCTGCTTCAGACAATTTTATAGTCATGAATTCCAAGTTCTAGAGGAGGATTTGAGACCTTTATAGTCAGTTTTACAGGAAAGGAAGTGAGAAGTTTTTTAGGCATTATGATTGGAGCGGAGCGGCTCAGAAAAAGTGTTCCTGATAGACTTCCATAGACTCGACACTGGAGACTCAAATGTCACGTCCTTGTGAATTTTGTCTTTGTCCACAAGAACGTATAGGAGTAAAAGAATAACACATAAAGGTGCCCATGAAAACTGTGGGTTTGCTGATGTAACGAAACTAGCTGTTAAATAGCTTCACTGGAGGAAGACCGGGAGGAGTTGGCAGACACTGGGTGTACATAATGCCCATTTGAAGCTTCTCGGGTAGTCAGTCTTACCACAGTACACAGAGTTAGAAAAGGAGCATCACCCAGAGGAAGACATAATGGGAACTAGGAAATAGAACATTCTGGTGTAGTGGATAAAATTGACCTGTATGTAATTCATTTTGTAGCACATGAAACAGAGCTAAGACCTTTCCACGATGTTTAAGCATCAGACAGGTTTTTGTTTTGTTGTTTTTGAGACCAGACTTTGCATGATGTATGTGGCACACTTCTAAGCCTGGCATTGGGAAGACGGACGGAGGGAGGCAGGCAGACCACTCCTGCCTACATAGCAGGACCCTGTCTCAAAAACAAAAACAGGACACTGTAGCTTAGGCTGAGCTTTGATAATGCCAGTGTTACAGGAGGGCATCGTTATGGATGCGCTTTTTGGATGTCAGTTTTTTTCTTTTTCCCTTATGTACACTTTTTGTTCTGGCAGGAGTCCGATTTGTAAATGGTGACTCATTCTTGAAGTATCAACTGAGTATAGCAAAAGTGTAGCCATATGAAGTCTAACTTTTGGAATTTCCATTAAGCTTTATGGTCTGCCTTAACATGCTTTATCAACAGATGTAGATCTGAGAAACTTGGCTAGAGATTGAACCCTTTCTTCATCAGATGAGTGATTTACACCAAGAACATATGTAAATCTTTATGCTCAGACTCTCAAGATCCTTTTTTTTTTTTTTTTTTTTTTTTTTTTGGTTTTTCGAGACAGGGTTTCTCTGTATTGTTTTGGAAGCTGTCCTGGAACTCACTCTGTAGACCAGGTTGGCCTCGAACTCACAGAGATCCGCCTGCCTCTGCCTCCCGAGTGCTGGGATTAAAGGCGTGCGCCACCAACGCCCGGCTTCTCAAGATCCTTAAAACCTAGTACAAGCACCAGCTTCTCCCAGAGACTAGGTCCACACAAATAGACACACTTTCAGTTTCTGCTGAGGATGGGGCAGTAACGTGGTGAAGGGGCTGTTTGCAAGCAAGTTGGGGAGATAGTGCCAGGTGTTGGCCCTTCCGATTGAGCAAGTTGGGGAGATAGTGCCAGGTGTTGGCCCTTCCGATTGAGTATTGGCGCGGCTGCTAAGGGGGTCTCTTGACAAGCTCCCCTCTCCCAAGCTAGAGCATCACCAAAGACCTCCTCCTCTTCTTCACCTGACAGTGTACTCCTTGGATGGAATTCTGGTGTTTGGTTTGCTCTTTGTTTGCACCTGCGCCTACTTCAAGAAAGTACCTCGTCTCAAAACCTGGCTGCTCTCAGAGAAGAAAGGAGTTTGGGGTGTGTTTTACAAAGGTAAGGTCTTATCTGGACACAGAGAGGAGATGGCAGTTTCTGGGCAGGGTAGTTCTATAAACTAGAAAGCGTACAGCTGGGGTTAAATGGATTCATCTTTAGTATATAAGTGTATGTATGATGTGTTGTGGGTGTATGTTTACTGCTATGCACACCTGACTAGCCGGCCTGTGAGCCTCCAGGTGTTGCCCTGCCTACTTAGAGATGCTGAGAGTACAGCTTTATGTGGCTTCTGGGGTTTTAACTCAGGTCCTCAGGTTTTTCGAGACAGGGTTTCTCTGTGGCTTTGGAGGCTGTGCTGGAACTTGCTTGGTAGTCCAGGCTGGTCTTGAACTCACAGAGATCCGCCTGCCTCTGCCTCCCGAGTGCTGGGATTAAAGGTGTGCGCCACCAACGCCCGGCCCCAGTGTCTGTTAATAATATAAAATAGTCATTTCTAAAGTCAAGGGAAAAGGGAAATTTTAAATTTGCTGTTACTTAAGGCATACTTGTTTATTTTACTACCTAGGTAGTTTTGGTATTCTAGGATTAAGTAAAAGTTTACAATGCCATGCTTATAGTTCCAGCTACTTGGGAGGCCAAGAAGCCAGTGTGGGCAACAGAGTGATATTTTGTCCTGGGGTGAGGTGGGGATATATTATAAGTTATGTCATTAGGCTGGCCTGAAATTCCTCTTTGCAGTAATAATGGTTTCTTTTAGATTTATCGTATTCACATAAGTACTTTGCTGCACGTGAGTCTGAGCACCACATGCATGCCTGGGTGCTGAGGAGTGGTGAGCCTCCCCGAGGGTGCTGGGAATCAAACTCAGGTCCTTTGCAAGAACAACAGGTGCTCTTAACCACTGAGCCAACACTCTAGCCCATCTACTGATTTTTTAAAAAAACAGAACACATTGGAACCTTTTAGTTTAATGAATTCATACACATATGTTAACTTTGTTATTTTGGGTACCTTCATCAGGAATCCTACATAACTTTTTTTTTCAAAGTAGGGTCAAATGAGGACAGATATAATGACACATACCTGTAATCCTAGCATGCAGGAGTTCAAGTTCAGCCTAGATTGCATAGTGAATCTTTGACTCTAAAGGGGTTTGAGGGAGTCCAGGCATGGCAGCACACACCTTTAATCCCAGCACTTGGGAGGCAGAGACAGATAAGCAAGTAAATCTCCATGAGTTCAAAGACATTCTCGTTCTACCTACAAATTCAAGGCCACCCAGAGCTACATAGTGAGATTCTATCTCAAAAACGAAGGAGCAAGGGGACAAGCAATTCATGTAGGGTCCAAAGCACAATATATCATTTAAGAACATCCCCAGACTCTGCAAACCCTTGGTTCTTAGAGATTTCAGAACATGGCTTTGGAAGGAAGGGTTTTGTGAGGAGCCAGGTGTAATATCTCTTTGCTTTTGTCTTCTAGCTGCTGTGATTGGGACCCGACTGCATGCTGCTGTTGCAATTGCCTGCATTGTAATGGCTTTTTACGTCCTGTTTATCAAATGAATTCCAAAGTATCCTACTCATCAACTGCCAACCAAGGGGATAAAGATGAAGAACTTGTCGGATACCTGGACCCAGTGTAGGAGAGTTCAGCTAAAATCATCGGTATCCCTAAGATGATACCGCAGCATCTGCCTGCCATATGTGGGGAAAACTCATGGTCACAAACATTATTTTTGCTCCAGGGGACTCCAGAAAGCCAACTTTTTGATCTCTGTATTAATCAGCCCTCAGCAGCAAGCATATATCTTCAGATAAATCACACCCCTTAGTGATATGATTATATACCTCCTGCTTAAAAACCTGGGTCCGGTGGTAGCTCAGTGGTAGAGCATTTGCTTAGCATTGTCAAGGTCCTGGGTTTGATCCCCAACACTGAAAAAAACAAAAAAACAAGCTACACTTGGTCATCTATTTTGCTCTTCAGTTCCTCATCAGGACCTTTTAAAACTGAGGGTCATTAGGGAAGGATATAGGCTGTGTTCAGACTTCCTGGAAGTCAAGACTTTTTTTAAAGACAGGGTCTCATATATAGCCCTGGCTGTCCTGGAGCTCTCTATGTAGACCAGGCTGACCTCGCCTGCCTCTGCGTCTTGAGTGCTGGGATTAAAGGCGTGTTCCAGAAGATAATTTTTAAGACTTGACCTTTTTTTTTTTTTTTTTTTTTTTTTTTACTAATTTGGATCTGGTGAGTTGGGGAGGAAGGGAGGGGCAGGGTGGGAAATAGAGTTGTGAAAGGCTAGGAATGCTTGGCTTTTGGAATGTGCTTTTTCTGCACCCATCTGGGAGCTGAAGAGAGCATGGTTTTCAGTGAAGAGAGCACAGATTGCCATGTTCTGGGAGCTTGAGGGTTTCCCCAAGAGAACCCGAGCATATGGGCAATCCAGGGTTATCGGTTGGGAGACTACAAGCAGTGACTGAGACAAGGAAGCGTTTTCCACTTACCACTGTCCCCAAAGAAGCCTCCATTTGACCACCTGATAGTAGAAAATGAACCAATTCTTGCTATTTCCTAAAGCTTTTTCAGTTCTTTCTAAATGACTTAGTACTAAGTACAGGTACTCAGTTTTAAATGCCAGTGCTAGGAGAGGGAACTATTGAATAATTGATTGATTAATATATTTAAAGTTCTGGTAGAAATGATAAGTAAATTAGTATATCAATTCTTATACTAGGAAATTCATCTAGTATAAGAATTTATTGTAATGAAAGTATATATAGCTGGGAATTCTGTCATGTTATAAAAGATGCAAACTTGTTCTTTAATCTGGGTTACAGCAATTTTTAGTTGTGTCCCTACCAACTCTCAATTCTACATACTGCAGTATTTCACTGTTGTATTTACTGTAAGACCATGAGAAATTGAAATGAGGAGTCACTGATATTAACATGTTGGACAGTTCATAGAATCCATTAATAAATGAATGTGTTACTGAGTAAAGGAAAATGGAGCTTTCCAACTCAGTAGTCAGGGCTTTCCCGTGGAGTGTGAGGACAGATGATGTTAGATGACTCAACATTTGAAGGGAAGACTGTTCCATTCCTTCCTCCTTATGCCTGCAAAAGAATCAGCGTAGGTGTAAAGTCTACAATCTAAAAATAAAGTAGGTCTAACATTAATGATGATACACAGATGTACACAGATATTCCAGTTGAATTGTCCATCAGAAAGCTTGATGACAAGCACTCCCAGGTGAAGTTACGTCCTCCCGTCTGCATACACTACAAGAGCAAAGGCTGCTGGGAAGCTTCAGTTCCGATGCATTGAGTGCTTTGACTAACAGTGTAAAGCATGGCCCCCTTCAAGAACTGGTCCACAGGGCGGAGTGCAGAGATTGCTGTTCTCCATGGCCATTCCTGAGGATTGTTCGCAGGAGAGAAGAAATCTGATGGATCTGGAGAGATCCTGTGAGAGTCCGTTGGGGACCTGTTGACCCACTGGGTGTCCCACGGGAAGCAGGTCCAGTACTAGTTACTTTGTATTTAATGACTTGTTTTCAGATAGGGCTGATGTCTCTGACTTTGGTCTGTAGAGCAGCTTCATTTCTTAAATAGCATCCATTCTGTGTCCTTTTGGCCAAAATGCCTGAGTTGGCAGATTTTGAGATGCTTTCTTACCAGAATGTTCCAAAAAGTACACGAAGAAGCAAATAGCCTATTTCACTTCTTGACACTTGACCTTATGTAAGCAGGTACATGGAAACCTGGTGTACTTATTATTTAGGCAGATGTGTCTCGTCTTTGGCAAAGAAAAAGGCGATAAACTGCTCCTCTGGGGAGTCCTTTGGGGTGGAGGTATGAGTAGCAACATTGCTTCAGATTCAGGTTCATCACCATGAACCCTGTGTACCAGGGTCAAATGGAATCAGCTCCTTTTTATAGTTGAAATGCCATTTTTTATTCACCATTGTTGGCACAATCCTTGAAAATAAACCTTTTTTCCCCTGTGGTTGTTGTCTGCTTTCTCATGTGTATTTATTGAAGTTCTAAGTGCTCCCTTGGGTTCTACCCACAGCATAGCATGTTGGCTTACCTGCATGAGTATTGTCATCTGATGAGTCCCCTGTGAAGATTACTGGATACATGATATAGCTCAGAAGATATGTTGACCAAGTGTTCTCCTGGGGACGAGTAAGAAAATGAAGTATATTAAATGAGGCATGTAGACAGAAGTTTGATCCCAAATCTACACATAGAAGTTTATATTAATTGTAAACTGTTTGGCCTATTGCTCAGGCTTCTTAGAAGCTAGCTCTCTCTTAATTATTAACCCATTTGTATTAACCTGTGTATCTCCACTTGGTCTTGACCTTGTCTTACTGGTGATGCCTGGGCCCCTTTCTTCCTCATTCTCTGTGCTCTTATTCCCAGCCTTCTAGTCTGGTAGCCCTGCCTATACCTCATGCCTGGCTACTTCATGCCTGTCCATTAACCAAAACAGTTTTATTTATTCATCAGCCAATAAAAGAAGCATATCTTCACGGCATACAGAAGGACATCCCCCATCAGAAGTAGGTGGCACGTCTTAATACATTTAACTAGCAGGCCCACTAGTAAAGAAAAGTGCCATTTGACATTATTGATGAACTTCATTCTAAAAGGTTACCAGGTTAACCACCCAGGCCCTTAGAAAATATCTGAGCCAATAGGATTCTGGAGCATGTGATAGGTACATTTTCTCCCTATCTGATTAATGAAGGTGCCAAGTAGGATTGTCATAAATACAAATTACAGTTTCAGAAACAATTTTCTACTAATGGCTAAAATTCTTTTTCTTTGCCCCCCCCCCCCCTTTCTAAAAAAAGGAAGATGAGGTGATGAAATATTGACATGCTCTCTGATGAGAGGCACATCAACCTAATTGTTATTTTACCCCTGGAATTTAAAAATCAGATTTATTTTTACCTATTTGGGTCTGACTATGTACCCTTGGATTTTCTGGAACTTAGTATGTAAACTAAACTGGCCTCAAACTCAGAGATCCAGCCTGCTTCTGGCTCTCAAGTGCTGGAGTTAAAGACATACACCACCATACCTGCCCCCTGCCAAAAAAAATTCAGATAGAAATGGAATGAATGCGAATGAAGGCTCAGCAGTATGACTCAGCATCAAGTTTTGGGCAGCCAGGAGGCTCTGTAAGAGAGGCTAGGATATAGAGTCCTACATTTCCCCATTTTACAGATACCCCTTTCTTTACTCATATCTTGAGTAGATGTTATTTACTGGGTTACAAGATGTTTCAGTGCGTAAAAGTGCCTGCTACCAAAGTTGTCAGGGTGAATTTGATTTCAGGATTCACATGGTAGAAGGAGAAAACTGACTCCTTACAAGCTGTCCTTTGACCTTCACCATGCACCAAGGCACACAATGACACACTGTTAATACATGTGGCAATGGTATTTATTGTCAGGGAGAAGGCATTCCTGGAGATACTCTTACTATTGTCAGCTAGGGTTGCTAAATCCACGATAAAGTCATTCACATATAAGTCTGAGACTGGATCATTTCATCGCTAGACATTGGATATTTAAAAAATTAGGACAAAGAAAAGATCAAGTCAAAGAAAAACTAGACAGGGACATAAGCATTTACATTTTATATAAACTGATACATAGTAAAGAAGCCGGGATTTCTGCCTGCTTGTCATCGCAGCTCCCGGAGGCTGAAGCGGAAGGATCTTGAGTTGGACACCAGTTTGGGCTACTTAGATTTAAACAAAACACAACAAAACCCAATTCTGTTTATAGAAATAGGTCCTTCCGTTCTGGGACCTCCCAGCCACACGGAGGCAGAAGAGAGTGCTCTGGGTGAACACGGCGTGCGGGAGCCTCCCGACCACTCTATAGTTCCTCCCAGAATCCTTTGAGACAGGACGGAGAGTTTAAAAGACGGTGCAACTTCCGCTTCGTCGCGAGTGGAGCGCGGCCGGGGTCACGGACTGAGCTGCTGGGTTTGGTGTTGCGTGCGTGGTACGCGTGGGCTGACTGTGAGTGTGGGTGTGGGAGTGCGTGTGCGCGCGTGGGGCGTGCAAGGCGAGTGTGTGTGTCCGCCCCGCGCCCCTCCCCCGCCTACACCTTGATCTTATTTGATCGGGTCGTGACCCCCGCCCCGCCGGGCCGCCCCGAAATGAAAAGCCCCCCTCCTGCGAAGCCCCTGTGCGGGGCGCTGTGCAGCGAGGCCCACTGGGCGGTGGCAGTGCCGCGGTTCCCGAGGTCTCCGGATCGGTCCTGCGGGCCCGGCGCTCAGAAGTGATGAATTGATCAGATAGACGAGGCCGGGCCTGTCCCGGCCACTGATTACCGAGGCGATTCTGATCTGAGCCCGACCCCAGGACCCGGCCGCGGCCGCCTAGCCCCAGCTCACGTCTGCGGCCTCGTGTGCGGACGCGCAGAGACCCAGGGTGACAGCGCCCAGAGCAGGCGGCATGCTGCCACTTGGAGGTGGAGGCCTGTGCTCCCGCTGCAGTTTTCCTTACTCCCTCTGCTTAGGCTGCGTTTGTTTGGTGACTTTTTTTTTTTTTATCAACAGTGCTTCACCTAGGGCTAAAGGTGCTATGCGCTGTTTATCCTCTGCTGAGGAATATGTCATAAATTTACAAATTGCAGGCTCCTGGGACTTACTCCATATATAGTGAATTAAAATGGGGTGTGTAGGGGGGGTTAAGGCTTAAGCGTAAATGTCTTGTTTTAAGGCAACACCCCTTATCTTTTTTTTTCTCGGGCTGATGAACTTGGTTTGTAGCTGAGGATGTTGGATTTTTGAACTGCCTACCTCAGCCACTTTACTAACACGTTAGATTAAAAGAAAGACAATTTTTAAATTTAAATTAGAAACAAGCTTGTTTCCCATGTCAATCCCAGCTCCCTCTCCTGCCCGCCCCACCAGAGCCCCCCCAGCCCCCCTCCCAGTTCCCACTCCGATCCCCAGGGAGGGTGAAGCCCTCCATGAAGGATCTCCAAAGTCTGTCATTTAATACAGGGCAGAGTCTAGGCCCTCCCCCAAGAGTCCGGACTGAGAGCATCCCTTATTGTGGGATGGGCACCCAAAGTCCATTTGTGTGCCAGGAATAAATCTACCCAAGGCTGCATAGATTGCCTAGGCCTCCTCACTGACACCCACATTCAGGG